CATCACCTTTTACCTTACGCGCCGAAAGGGCTAAACTCCAAAAAGGCTTGTTTTTCCCGATGACTAAGATAGACTAGAATAGTAAAGACTACTAGATTATATTAGTTGATGGGTTGGGAGAGGGCATGAGCTACTTCTTTTCGCTAATCGGGACGGTTCCCGTAGGAAAGATCTAGATAATTCTAGGACTTTGAGCCGATTGCGGTCAGCAAAATAGCTATTCAAGTCCTTGAAGTCGAGAAAACCATAGACAACTCTGTTTATTTCTGCAAAACGAAATAAACTATTCATATGCGTCGAAGCCATGATGTAGCGATTATGTAACATACTTGCGGAAATTTACTGCACTTCTTTTATAACCTAAAAACGCACACGCAAACATTTATAACCTAGGACCGCAATAAGTTATCGACAATCTTTATACCACATAAATGCATTTTGTTTAATAGAAATTGTGTTATATATTGAACATTTTCGTAAAATAAAAATAAAAACCTACGTTTTCTTAAATGTTTTTTAGTATAAGTTATGATTTTATAATACAATGGCAAAATGCTCATTTAATATTTTACAAAATGGCGTGGCAACGTTTAAAGGTTTTCGTTGACAGAGGAATGGTTTCAAATGTACTATTACATATACTTTATAAATATTTTAATTAAATACGGAAGTTGTAAAAAAAGATGACTGAAATGTAATTTTTTTTTGATGTGAGGAAGTGGCAAACGGGCTGGCGGTTCACCTGATGATAAGTGATAACCGCCTGCCCATGGGCATTTGCAAAACCCGTAGGGTTGCAGACGCGTTGTCCACAACTTAATAATGTGGGCCCTGGCTACCTCACTCACCAGACGAAACGCAGTGCAACGCTTCTAATTTACGCCGGTCTTCTCTGAGGTCGTGGTACTAACCCGAACGGACCTGCACGGTCGTGAAACACTGGTGCGTGGCCCTAGCACCGTAAAATTTCGTTTAAAAAATTATTTAATGATTTTCCCATTGAAGCTACTCTTTACGAAATGAGGCGTCAAAAGAGCTGACACTAATGATTTTCTTTGTAAATAGTTTGGACACCCAGCAACTTTATGTCTAAATTCGGCAAATGAGACGGCGGTTCACCTCATGTTAAGTGAATACCGCTGCCTTGGACTTCTACAGCACCGGAAAGGTCGCAAACGGGTTTTCAACCACCAAAACAGTGGGTTACATAACTAATCAGACGAAACGCACAGTATAATCTGGACGGACCATTCCTGCAACAACAGGAGATGTCGCGTGGCCCTATTAACGTAAAACTTTCGTTATATTGCCGAATGAATAATTTACGGATGTATGTAACTTTTAGACTTTAGCGGCTGCATCGTACACAGCTCTTTTGCCTTTGGGATAAAAAGTATTTTGTGTTATTCTACCAAAGTAAGCATCTCTGTCCGAAACAGGCGCGGATAACATATTTTAGTTTGGAGGATCAGGTTTTGTAAACTATAATATATAAATTTGTTTGGTGACGTTAAACAATAGTTATAAAACGACTTCACAAAGGAGAAGGTTATGTTTGAATGTATATATATTTTATGTATACATTCAAAAACACAGTTACTCCGTCCATTGTGGATCGAAAAATGTGTTTTTATTGACAGGTCGCATATTAATTTCATTTGTGTTGCTATTATCCAAATTCCAATCCAAAGGATCCGGATCAACATCTCAAAATCAAATACAAAATGAGTGAGTGAGAATTTGAAGACGATTTTAGTTTTTCATTAATGTTTTACTTGTGTCCCTTTCGTCTCTGTGCGTGATTCAAAATCGAACGCGATTCAAATGGAGAACCAAGTTATACTATCCACGGAATTTGGGTCTACTCGACGGGGGGAATGGAGTTCATGACCCTTCAAACAGACCCAACCTTGAGTTCAGAGCTTTGTGACTTACAAACATACAACACACATGCAGCGTTTCTTTTCGTATTCGCAACGCTACTAGGAGCGTATAGCAGATAGCGGGTAAACAAAGTTAAAATAGGACCGCGCGACGCTCCAAGTCATTCCGTTGGGCCGGTGACGAACGGCCGTCAATCTTGAGATAATGACGCTTAATCGCCGCGGCCTTCATGCGAGCCTGGTACAGACGCGGCGCATCACCTGTTTGATCTTTGGCTAGGGAAACGCCGCCGATGGATTTATTATATAATATATGCTTCAATGACACTCAGAACGCCTTTTTCAGCGCGTGTATCATTTTCACATCTATAGATAATATATAGGGCGTACTGTCACAAGTTTTACAGACCGAGGCTGTGTATTGCCACATATTTATGGTGTTTTGAATTTTCCGTGTCGCAGTTTTAGATCATGTAAGTTACTATTTACTACTGTGATAGTTATGCTGTAGTTTCTGCTTACAAGCAGTACCGCGTCTCACAAGAAACCGTATGTATTCATATTCCCTTTTCCTATGTCATTCTCGTCTCGTTAGTGCGGTTACCGGTGCCTTTAAAGACTAGAAACTCATAGAAGTTGTACTGTTCAGAGGCGCTTGTAATCTCTAGCATCGGGAGAACCGCCACCTCCCTTATTTCTTCTTGTTCTAAATAAAATAGAAAGAACATTCAACAATAATCACACAATTAGAGTTAACCACACGGATGCATGTCAATTAAGTTAACATTTTTTGAAATTACGATGTAATAACTTAATTCTTTAAATGATGTACAGCCTTTTTTACTTGAGGATAATGTAGTTTTCATCGAGGTATTCAATGTATGTTAATAAAGTCCTTCATATTTTAGTCCACTTAATAATATTTAAAAATAAATTAATATCGAAACAGTGCAAATTTTTATCTTCATAAAACATTCGAAATTTGAATTCATGAAATATTTTTGTAGCCAGCATTCATAAGATAATTTTTTTTTATTATGTGACAGAACGTATAACAAGACTAGGTAGTTTCAATACCTACTTACTAAGCATTATTACTTTTTTATATTTATTATATTATTATACATTTTATATTCATTATACATTATACAAGCAATATATATTTTTTAAGTATTTTGAAGTACTTATAAGATATATTCTTTATCTGAGTCTGAAGCTTAAAACAGTGTCATCCTATTATATTTTCAAGACTAGAAAGAGGTATGTATTTCAAACACATGTACTACGGAACTAGCATCGGTTAAGTGAGTACTAGTCTAGTCACCGGTTAAGTAGGATAGAAGTGGACAGAACTTGTGCAAGGATTTCATCAGCGAAGTAAGGCAAGACCTCTTGTTAAAATTCTTGGACGAAAACATTATCATTGCCGATTTAACGTAAAGCACATGTGACCCGGCTTGAAGCGTGCCGGATCACTAACTTAATTTTTGATACCCTAAAACTTATTGAGGAGTTTGTGATAAGATTGAAAAGACCATATACGTACTGTTGTAGGTAAAACAATGTATATTTCAACCAAATAGGACTAATGTGTAAGGAAATACTTTATAAAATCAGCTAAGGAATGGAACAACCTGCCGGCGTCCGTATTTCCGTCCGATTACAAAGTAGGCGTCCACAACGCAAGAGTGAATAGGTTTTTACTGAGCTTACCATCAAAGGCTACATCGCCACTTACCATCAGGTGTGATGGCAGTCAAGTGCTTGCCAGTTTTGAATTTTAAAAAAAAAAGCTATGAAACAAAATGTCTCAAAAAGCAACTCTGCTTCTCTGCAATAGCAAGATCAAGAACTATCCACTACGCCATTTGATGACTTCGTGGCGCAGTTGCAAAGGTATTGGTTTCGGCGCCGGGGTTTGTGGGTTCGATTCCCACACGAGACAATTATTTGGGTGACCCATAGAGAATTATTTGGAATCAGGGTATTTTTCCACGTGAAATTTATGTATGTAAAACGTCCTTAGAACACAGGATAATGTTATCCAACAGTAAGGGGCATGGTTTTCGAAGGAACGCTACAATAGATCTTTTCGGTCGCTATTGTTGGGAGATACAACCAAATACGTTCTCCACAAATCATTCATCATTCGATCTCTCACGTTAGAAGGAAAAATATATTTCCCGTATCAATAAGCGAAACGCCTGGGATGTGATCAAATACAATGCAGAGAAGCAATAGTGCCTTTCCAAGAATCAAACACAGGCCATTGATAACTTCGCGATATATGTCGAAGAGTGCGCGCAGAAAATATACTAAATGTCTTTTTATAGTCAATCTAGCGAGCGATTTTCCTAACGTTGGTAATAATTGGTGAACGTATAAGGAGATCCTTTCTAACGGAGAAGGTACGAAAGGCGACCGTTGTAAATACGTCATAGTAGCATCTTCTTTTCGTAAGTGGTGTCTGAAAGGAATTACGTAGGCCACAACCGATACAAGAGAGCTCTCTTCCATCAGGAGACAGACGCTCGACGCCTACACCCTTTTGTTTTCAACGTTCCCCGCATCCGAAAAAGTTTTAGGCGTCCGTAATAAGCACGCCAGTACAAGGATTTGCTTTCGTATCTTTTTCAGTCTGATTTCGATCGATCTTTAAGGCACGAGTGTACTCTCAGTTCGTAAAATCCACGTATCATAACTACCATACAATCACGTGAGATTATAGTCAAGCGCCTATTCCTAGTCTACGGACTTTACGAGACTTAGAACGATGGCTTGAGAAGTTGGGTACCTGGTGAGACAGTTCGAGTATAACTGTATTTTGAAACTAATGTTTTTCCTAATTCTAGTGCGTAAAAGTCGATAAATTTTAACTGTGGTAGCGTCGACACGACTTGCGCTGCAATGGGATCTCCATTAATGTAGAACTTTAATATATTGCCCTTCGTCTGCTGAGTGAGGTAAACGGGGCTCAGCTTTTAAAGATATGCAGCCGTAATGTTGTCATGTCCACAGGTTAAGCTCGCAACGCTGCTTACTCGTAGTTTCATTCATTAAGAAAGAACTTAAAAGTACCAGGAGCTAATGACAGCGGAGAGGTAAGTTTCAAATTTAGAACTGCCAGCTCACCTTAAGCGGGGGTGTCGGGATGTAGAGGGGCGGGTCGTTCTGCGACCCGGTGTACATCTCCATGCCGTCGGCGGAGCGGGCGCACCCCTCGGCGTCTAACACGCTGTACCTGCACACAATCCCGTCGGCGGGCTTCGCGTCGTACCCGGGCGGCTTGCCCACGTAGAAGCCCTTCGCCTTCACCCAGAAGCGGAACTTCGAGCTGTCCGAGCTGTTGCACTCCTCGCCGCGGAGCGTGCGCAGTATCCTCGCGTACTTCTTCAGCGTGATAGTCTTCGTTTTCGCCATGTCGCCGTACGTCTGGATGACCCACGGCTGGTAGGTGGAGAACAGGTCCAGTTTCGGATCCCCGGTCTGGATCTTGGCGCGTTTGTTGTTGTTCTGCTCGCTCCTCTTGTCGCCCTTCGAGCTGCTGGGAGTGGAGCGCCGCTTGGAGGGTTTCCTCGGCGTCTTCTCCGGTATCGCCTCCTGCGTCAGCTTCTTACGTAGTCCCCGATCGCTGATCATGGCCGCTGCCATTTTAGTCCCGCTCTGAACACCTCAAAGGCACCAACCAAGGCCGACGCGCCCCATAATAAAGCGGCGACGCGTTCACTCGACACTTATAACGGCCCCCGAAACATTCCGTCACAATTGTCCAATAAAGTTCCTGCTGCTCTTTTGTTTATAGGCAAGCAAGGGAGGTAACTAAACTGCACGAAAACCGCCTACGGGTCCTCCCCGAGCGAAGTAAAGTATCCGAAACTTCGCGAGTGACGCTCGCGTTCAACTTTCGCGAACTTTTGACTGCCAAGTTCCCGTCGGCGAACTGAAGGACTCGCCTGTACAGGAAACTTTTCCCGGCGGCTCGGGGACACGTCCGCGGATGTCGTTGGGTCTTTAAACACTACAGTTCTACAATAACCCCCATAACAATTATCAATTAAACAAATGACTCACAAAATATAACCAATTGCAGTTGCAGTTATTCCCAAAATATCATCCGTACTTGTTGTATCGTTCATAGCTGTTAACCCTTCACGCAAACTTTATTCACTGTCAGTACATCAAAAACTATTGGGTTGGAAGTGATTCGAGTGGAAAGCAAGCAAACCGACTCTCGACGAATCTGAGACGAACGAAAAAACTCATTGGCAAGTTTTCGTGCGTGATCGTCGACGCCGCGTAGGCGACGCGCAAAGCCGACACGTAACACAGCCGCTCGCGTGGGGCGCGTGCTGCGTACTGGCTGGATTTACTCGCTCGCTCGCCCGCCTCGGTGGCACGGCAAACAGGGCTACCAGATCGCATTGAATACTAAACGTACAATATACCATTCGTAAAGCACGTTTATACCTCGAATGTTTTACTGCTAGTCATGTATAAGTAGATTAATAATATTTTTGGGTCAAAATTTTTTTACGTAAAAAAATTGTTGCAGTTTTATATTTAACTAGCGGACCCAACAGACGTTATCCTGTACACGCGACTTAAATCCGACGACAACTTATAAATAAAAAAAAAAACAGAAAAAAAAAAAACGATTAATTACGTTAATATAATGAATTATATATTATATAAAGATAAATTTTACATAATTTTATAATTTTTCGGTGTGAAATAAATGTGGCACTACTGGCAGCCCTAGGCGGGCGGCACGTGCGGGACGGGCCCGCGGCCGCTAATTGCCCGCGAAACAATCGGGCCCCGATAATACCGGCGCGCTCGTCCTTCGCGATAATACCGGCCCGCCTCTGTTGTGTTACTGCGTTGCGTTTCGTTTCGTTGTGTTGTGTTGTGTTTTGTGCAGTCGGACGCATCACGCCCGGCCCGTTGTGCGCTCCGCTTCGCAAGTGGCCGATGCGAATTCGAAACGTTCTCCAACATGGAGATTCTGTGCAAGTTTTCTTTAATTGTTAATTATTGAAATCTGACCTCTCGGAATCAAATTGTAATTTCGTAATAGTAGCATACTCAGGTATGTAACTATGTGAATATTTAATTTAGTAAATTTTATCACTACATAGTATAAAATCAAAGTCGTCCCACTGTCTGTCTGTCCCTATGTATGCTTAGATCTTTAAAACTACGTAACGGATCTTGTTGCGGTTTTTTTATTAGAAAGAGTGAGTCATGAGGAAGGTTTATATGTATAACATTGCACCCGTGCGAAACCATGGAGGGTCGCTTGTCTTATATATTTCGTTTCGCTAGCAACATATTTACGAGTACGTATCGTATCGTATCAGCCTATACATGTCCCACTGCTGAGCAAAGGCCTTCTATGTACAAAGACCACACACGGCCACACTGCAGTTTGGCGGACTTCGCATAATTTTGTCTTGGAAACATTCTTTTGTTATTATTTCGAAAGTATGCATGTTTCCTCACGAGGTTTTCCTTCACCGCTGAGTATGTGATACTTAAGATTAACAATGTCTGGCGCCGGCACCGGCGATTGAACTCAGGTTGCTCGAGTATATTGAATTAAAGGCGAGCGCCGGGACACTGAGCTATCACGGGCTCTTATTTTTTTTTCTCAAAAATAAATACATTTTTTTTTCTCAATAGCGCAAATTTTTAATTCGTAATTATTGATTCGGTTGTGTTTCTCTATCGATTAAAACAATTTGTAAATGATTCTTGTATGTAAATAATTACCGTCAATTCATTTTAAAATATCCTGAATAATTACACTTTAATGAAAAATTATTATAATCTCAACTCAAAGGTATATAGTGAGATGATTGCGTTTCATTGTACAGACAATTTATTAAAACTAAACTAGTAACGTGTTAATATGAAGTGTCAGATATTTTGACGTGTTTGTAAAACCGCAATGAAACTGAGTGTCTCTGTCAAAGACTACAGTTAGCATTTAGCTAGCATTACATTACATTATAAAATTATTTAAAGTATTTAGATAGGAAGGGAAGACAAATGGATCTTTTTAACCCCAAAAACGCTTTATTATTAAAAAAAAATTGTGTAATCAAATGTAACAAGGCACAATCATCGTCGTTTTTCGGACGTTTATCAATGATAAAATATCAACAAATCTTGTAAATTAATAATAAAGTAACATCCTACATTCGTCTTACATACTGCACCACACATCTTCTTGTTATTATTATTATCTTGAAAATATTCAGATTTTATTCACCTTTGGGGCTTATATTTAAATTGTAACAAAATAAATATAATCTGTGTTAAATATAAGTCCATCGGACAGCATAACTGTCAAAGGTTGAAAGAGATTCTCGAAATTCACTGTCGAAGATATTTTGTCCACAAGTCGATTCTGTATACCGTAAAACGGGGTTAATCATTTTTTTTTTAGAAAAGATTTTTGAAGTTTTTATTTGCCTATTACAATTTTAATGTGAATATTATAAAATTGAGAATTTTAAGAACAACTTGACATTGGCGTAATTGTGATAACTCACAAAGCAAGCCATTAATAAAAAGAAGAAGAAGAAGAAGATTCTCGTAAAATCTTCATTTATTAAAATTTTCGTCCTTTGAAGTAATTCAAATGGAAAAAAAGTATAAAAGGAGATAGAAAAGTATTTATTTTCAGTATAAACAATTCATTATTGAATAGCAAAATGATAGATGATAAATATGACGTTACAAAATTCTAATAAACAGACAACAGCGCACGCGCGCGCGCATAAATATGCGCACTGGGCGGTTCGTTTGCGCGAAGTGTGCGCATGTTACTAGGCGAACATAACGTTTCGGGAGATGTAAAGAAACGCCGACAGGCGCTGTTCGTATGCCGACAGTCGTCCTACAAACTGTGGTCTCCGCGTAGTTAGCTACTTTCTCAGAGTGTCTCGGTTGCATTTTTCTGATTTTTGATTTCTGAACAGATTTTAATTGCATTGTTAGTTTTTTATTTAACCTTATTTACTTAATAAGAAACATGTCTAACCTACCTTTCGTGATAAAAATTATTTTAAAAAAGTATCTTTAGAAAATATATTCTTATAACTTAGATATATTATATATTTTACAAAAACCACATTTTAACGCTGTACGTACAGCAATCTACGATTAATCTATATTTCCCGGGAATTCTTCGATATAGTTTCTAATCAGGTGAACGAACATGAGACATTTTAAAAATACAGTCGCTCAGTAAAATAATGTATGGATATTTTGGTATTTTAATTATTAAACAACATATACGTTATTTTGGTATTTTATTAGTAAGCCCAAAAATTATTCATTTGTTGGTTGACCTTAAAACACCGCCCCGTCAGAGACCGACCGTAATGAAAAAAAGCATCGTCAACTGGGCCGGGCACACCGATATTGCGTCATTAGTTCAGTGTTGTACTAGGAGACTATGAACGTACGGAGCTTGTCGTTCGCTTCTAAATGTCTGATAAATCTCGTGTAGCCGACAAAAAGGTAGCAATCAACAAGAGATGGCGCTTTTTTCATTTGGTAAGCCTGGAAGGAGACGGCAATTTCGCAATAATACTTTAACTGACGATGACGAGTAATCAGAAATAATAATATTTAATGAATCGGTAGTTATAATTGACAATTGGTCTATATTTATAATTGCGCAAAATCAAACATTCTATTTCTATTCCATAAACTCGATGATATTTTCTACTTGTCTTTACGTATATAATTATAGTTTATAATATCTTTGTTTATACCCAAATGTCCTGAATATTATAATGGTAATGTGATATGATATGATCTTTGATTATATACTTGTCAACAATATAAGTATATAATCAAAGAATATGATAAGATAAAATTACAACCGGTAAATATTTAACGCTATGAATTCAATACTAAAAACTTTTAAGTAGCGTTATAAATTATGAAATATTAATCAGATTTTTTCATTTAATGTTTTTGCTTAATATTTGTTTATAAAGAAAAGTTATTTCTTTAATCAGTAAAATACAAATAGGACAAGTAGGTAACTCAATTGAGTTGCACATATTCGCTAGCTTCTTGGAAATATGTTAACAGGTATGTGGCAAATAACGCTTGGCACGTATGCCGTCCTGGTACAAAGGCGATGCAGAAAACTTGAAAACGGTCGTATGTCTCGCTGCGTCGTGGAACCGTTTATGGGAAAAATAGTCGTTGGACGGGGGAGACAAATGCTGGTGTATAAAATATGAATTATAAATCTGCTGGTGTGTATAGATTTTATTAATTACTTACTTACCTATTCATTATTCTATAAATAAATTGGATAATTTGTCAATTTATATTCATTACGATTTTTATTCAGAAAATCTTCTCATTGTTACAAAATTCGTTCTCCTTTATTTTGTGATATACAAAGAAAAATATTAAAACGTATTAGTACTTTTGAACAAATAGAAGTAGGTAGGTAGGCAATTAATAAAACTAGTAGAGATTTTTTAATACTTAAAATTGATTTTAATTGTATATGGTACTATATACTTATATGTATATACTTATACGTATATATACTTATATATTTATCTATATTTTTTTCAAATTTATGAATCACTAATAGAATATTTCTACAAGTCGTTTCCTAACGAATGGGTATAATAGATTTTTTACTAAACGGTAAGTAAATAATGTATTTGAGTTTGTTGTGCCAGTCGCATTCAAATTGAGTGGACCTAAGAAGTCACAAAACCAGTTTGTGCGTTGGTCTCGCGTTGCGTTTTCTCTTTTAGTGTAAAGTACTAGGCAATCATATGGCGCGAGAATGAATAGTAGTGAGTAAACTCGGGCAATGTGCACAACACGGAGTCCATGTCGCTGAAAGATTCCCGGGTACTAGCAGTGCAGAAATTGCACGAGTGCTTTAGGAAAAACCAGTGTTGTGAGTTAAGTTGACTTGTAAAAGTAAAAAAAATACATAGCTACATTCTTTATTGAGAACTGTAACGGGTGAATGTGAGATTATGCTGCCATATACAGCGTGTCGTTACCATCGCGACAATAAATGAACACACATATAGGGGATAACTTTTTAAAGTTGTATTCAACATTTAAATTCTTAAAACATCAATATTTACAGAGCGAGTACAAAACAAAGAATTTTAGAACATCCTTACCTATAAAAGCGTAACGTAAAGTTCATTTGTAAAGGTCACAAAGCATATGAATGGGTTGAATGAATTTAAAAGAGACAAAACATACTGTTAGAAGGAGAGGCTTGTAATATGACGCTGTGCGCGAGTTGTATAGGGTGTTACAAATTTTGTTTCTTTTTTACTTAATTGTTTGTTTGAAAAATATTTTTTTTTAATTATGGATTTTGTTTAACGTTAATATTTTTTTAAAGATTATTG